TGTGCATGTGTGAAATGACCATGAGGGCATGTTTGTGCACTTGTAAATTCAACACTAAAGTTAAGTTTAAAAAAACATCTTTCAGCTTACTAAAGGACGTTTCTTGACATTTTTAGGAGTTCAAATATATTCGCATAGTTGGTCATGTACATTACAATATATATATATATAAAAAAACAAAAGTACTTTGTCTATATCTGGATTAATTTCTTGGAAAATCTTTATGTGTCTCATGCCTGAAATGTGCATGAAATACTATTTCTTTTTTAAGTGTTTATGAATTGCAACACCACATAATCTGAAAACAATTTATAAAAGGAGCTTTTCAGCTCTGCAGGGGCTGTAATGTGTGTATAAACCTCACTGTTGAGCAGATGAGCCAGACGCTCAGCTGTCTGAAGTTTACCAGGTTCACCACACAACATTTTCTGCTTGGTCACCTGTTTGCAACAAAAAAACACCCATAATATTAGATGACAATGAAAACCCAGTCAGGCCTAATAATTGTGATTTACTGGGTTAGAACCCAAATCTCAGTCAAGCCTTAACAAATCACCATGAATAAGTCAGATTTATTCACTGACAAACACAAGGTGAGCAGCTGGAATTACCAATGTGATGGGCTGGTGAGCGTGGTGCTGAAGACACCCTCAGCTGTGTTTCTGTGGGCCTCCCACCAGCAGGGAAATGAAGACTGAAGTAGAACATGTGGGGATTATGCAGAAGAAGAGGAGCGGAGTATACGGATCAGAGAGATGGGGAGGCCTCTGTCATAATAGCCATGCGAAATCCTATTCCCACTGATCCCATAAAAGCACATATCAAAGTCATCACCGCAGGGCAAGGGCACAGACGCAGGCACATGAAAGTGTAAAACACACTTCTGAAGAGGACTGTGTGTGTCTGTTTGGAAATTATCTTCAGAACTGTTATTCCATTATAACATAGCCATTTCCATATCTTAATGTCATATATATGATTTTCATTAACATTCATTTGCACAGTGGCCGAGAGAGCTTAACGTGCCGCAATTTAAGAAAACACATGCAGTTACAAAAAACGCCAGTACATGCCGTCATCCGTTAGAGAGCACATGTGCTGCAAATCCTCAAAGCGCATACTGTAGACATTAACAAACACGCTGTATTTTTTCACAACACAAACATTAATAAAACACACTGCATTTTCTCACAACACCTGCAAAAACATCGGAACACAACGGAAATGTTTTAAGGGGGCCCAAAAACATGACGGTTGCCATGTGCCATGACTATTGCTCAATGAAGTTCTAGGTGAAGGTTTATTTTAACATCCCGATTCCCGTGTAAATATATCTATCAGCATTGAAGAAATCAATTCCACCCACATTTGTACTTAAAATAAAATAAAACTGTTGAAGAAAACATCCATTAAGGACAACCATTCAGGAAACGTTCGGCCACATCTACTAAAAGAAAAAAAAATCTTAAAGACGTTAGTGTCAAGTTTTCATGCCTTTAGAAATGGCTTTTCTGTATGGAAGTGCAATGCTTTTAGTAGCAGATTATTGCAATGTAATCTTTTTGTTGCAATTTATGGCTCAAGCTGGCTGTATTCCTGCAATCATATCTTCCACGTCTCCGTCCCAATTAGATAACAATGCTCACTTTTTAAAAGGACTCATTCATCGTGAATTTCAAGAGACAAGAGGTTCAAAGACCTTCAAACACATCCAAGAGAAGATGATATGCATTGCACATGTCTTTGCTCTTTCTTACATGCTCAACTCTTAATCTCAACCTTAGCCGTTAATTACGCAAGGTTACCATGTGGGTAGCACTGAAAAACACTTAAGATAAAAACTTACGACAGCTTCAACAGCCAGAAATGATGACCTGTATTTTGTTATCTCATAAGTAATAAAATTTAAGTTAGTTAGAAAACTGTTATAGAAAACTGTTGCAGTTTGGCATATTTTGAAAGGGAAACGATTAACTTAGAAAAGAGAGAAAAAAATGTACGTACTGATTTAATTATCAAAATTATATGTGCATCATAACAAAATTATTTAAAATCAAGGATATGTTGACTAGAGCTGGATAAAATTGTGAGCACAATGACCTAAACAACGGTAAAGCACAATGCATAATAAATCAGTATACAACTTTTACTGATTACAAAGGTTTTTAATGACATTAAACAACAACTCAACAGTTCAGATGCAAAAACCTCTAAGTGCAATCTGAAATATCTTCTAAAATGAGCATTTTTCTCAGGCTCCTTTTCAGTGATTTAAGATTTATGGCAATAAAATCTAGAATTTAATGTGAAATAACTAAATATGAACATAGAAGGCTAAGATAAAGTGTTAGTTTTAGAAGATAACTTCAGACTGCATTTTCATACGGTTTTTTCTTCAACTCTTCAACTGTTATGTATTGAAAGAAATTTTAAGGCAGTTGGTTGAGTGATTGATTCAGTGACTAATTTTGTCAAACAACAAATAGTTTTGTTCATTTGTGAATCAGTAGCTGTTTTTGAAACCGTCCCTCATTCACTATTCCATACATTAGCCCACTAATGTACCCCATTTCAAGCAGCGAATGAAAACAATTGAATTTGGATTATACATTTTTCATTATGTGGTATTGGCATGTGTTTTCACAATTTAAAAATTAGCAACATAGCCCTAAAGCTTGCTATTAAAAAGGCTAATTTACCCAAAAAGCCAATTACCTTAGTTTACTTAAACTCAAGGATGCCTAGGTGTATATGACTTTCTTCTTTCAGTCAAATCCAGTCAAAGTTATCTTTAAAATTACCTTGTGGTTTTCCAGCTCAGCAATAGTAGGCGTTTTTCTTCCACAGTCCAAAGAAGTGCATCCTTTCATAATCAAAATGGCTTCTAGGGGGGAAAGTACTATAGACAATGGTATCAAACAACAAATCAAGCAGAAAAGACCCTTTTAATGCCAGTTTGTCAAAATATTTCACCTTTTCATGCTTTTCCCATCATAAATAGTCAGAAATGGTACAAAAAAGTGAAAAGCAATTAAAGGGCTGATCTAGACTATATTTTAAGGCTTGGTTGTGTTTATAAGATGCAACGCAATGTGTGCTCATGCTTCACCTGTAGAAAATCAAGTATTTTTTTCATATATCTTACATTGATTATATACAGCTACTCGGCTAATGTGTAAACGACTGTAATATTTCCTAGTTTCTTCGAAAAGGCCCACCCTAAAGAGGCTCTGATTGGTCAGCTAACATAAGTGCTCTGATTCGTGGATCGGCTCTAGCATGTGCTGTGCCTTTGTTGTGTAAACACTGTCAGTCAGAGAAGCTGTTAGCCATGTCAGTCTGAGCCTGAATCAGACAAAAAATGAAAAGGTCACAGCTGAACCATACCCCTGATCTCTAAAATAAAATCTGACAAGTGTCTTTCATATAAATACTCAGAATATAAGAATGTGTGAGCAATATGAGACGTTCATATATCTTTTATGAGTTTGTTATTTGAGATATAAAAAAGCAAAGAAAGCAGCCACATAGAGAGACACTGCAGTGCTGCTGAAGATTATAGGTGTTTACAGCAGTTTGATGAATAATTATAAATCTGTAACTAAATGGTTAAAAGTGCCAAATAGCATTTCCTGTTGTTTACATCCTTGTTTATGTCCTCGCTACAACATATTGTTAATGCTAGACACTATGCATGTAATGGATCAATTTTAGCAAATAAAATTACTCACAGGTTGTCTCACAATCCACAGCTTCGTCTATTATGGTTGGAGCTGCTCATTCTTTGAGGAGTTTTTAGCTGAATCCAGAACTCAACTGAGAAAGATTCTGGAAGCTGTCCTTTGTCAAATGCTAGCTATATATTTTTAAATGTATCTGGAAGCCCGAATACAAAAACAGAAGAAGCTCTGTGGAAAAAGTAGCGTTTGGATGCCATTTTAGCTTTCTCTGCCATAACATTACAGCGCCTCTGGCCACGCCTCTTCACTGTGCAGGGTGTGCGCACGTGGTTAATGCGTGTAACCTGAAGCTTTTGTGATCTCATTTACGCGGATTTATTTTTTTGTAGTCCCCAAACTTTGTTTGCTGTAGGCTTTGTTAAACTAACCCTGTAAAAGGCAATGTCTGCATTTGCATTAAACTTGAGCGTATTACATTCAGAGATGTTCAATCCAGGCTCATTCTGAAAACGTAGTCCAGCGGACGTTTCTGGAGACTGTGAAATATGTCCCGGGAGGTACGTATTTGTGCAGTTTTTTTTTTCGTATCTTGAACGTCTCTCGCCAGTGCCGTTTGCGCCCGCGCTGTTCTCACGTCAACCCACCAGAGGCCGCTGTCTGACTGACCGAATGATTGACTGCGCGACCAGACAATCGGCTGACCCACCCTCCTTCCCTGAACCTAACCAGTTTTACCGATTGACCCGCCCGCCTGCTCTCTTCCTTAAACCTGAGCAACAATTTAGAAAAGCCGTCTAGAAAAAGAAATGCCCTTGTCTGTTTTTTTTTTTTTTTTACCACATTTTTGGATTTCACTGCATTCTCACCCTGTTATGAACTCGTTCGCTTTATTTTTTGGATTCTGTTTTTGTCTTACCTGATTTCTGGACGCCTTTGTCAACTCCTCCTCTCTGCATCTGAAGTCAGCCGACGCACACGATGAGCTGACCGGACAAACTGACTGCAGCGGTCAAACTGACAGGTAAGCAGTCAGCCGGCAAGCGGGAAAGGGAATGGCGTCAAACCGCCCCGTAGTGTTCGCTTAAAAAAATTAAATGCAGCCATACGTACCTCCTGGGACGTATTTCTCTCCAGAAGCGTCCGCTGGACTACGTTTTCAGAATGAGCCTGGGTTGGACATGTTGTTTATGTTCACACAGCTACATTACACATCAACTAAACTTCAAAAAATGATATCAGTGGACCACCCTTTTAATTAAGCATAAATAAATGCAATAGGTTTACAACATCACAAAGGTGCATAAACTTACCGAGAGCTTATCTTTTGTTTTGTTTTTTTATTGCAGTAATATAATTGTGCATCTGGCCGTACATCTCCAATAGTCATAACAGATCATAGAGCTCTGGACATTGAACACTGGTCACAGAAACCATATGAAAGAATGGGCAGGCAAAGAAAAGAAATACATAAAACAACATATTCATGAATATTCATTTTCAGAAAAAAAAACAAACTATCTACACACACTACACTTACACAGATAAATACAGTCACACACGGTTCACTCTAAACCTGATCTAGAGCCTTTATTGATACACACACACACACACACACACACACACACATACACTCAAACACAAGTGTAAAACTGATCTCCAATATAATTTTATCTCTGACACCGTAACCAGAATCTACATTCAAACTAAAACAAATAGCACGGACATTTTGTTTTAAACCTATGTACAATATCGAATAACACTGTGATCTATATGTCGTTTTCTTGTGTTACCACAACACAATCACAAAGGTAGGGCTTCAGCGTTTGCACACCACGAACAGCACGGCTCATCTTCACTACTGTAAATACACACACTAACAGCTTCCTTATATCATACTTTTGAGATTCAGGTTGCATGATATAGTCTCACAATATATGTTTTGCATCCAGCAGCATATATACAATTATTTTTTTAATCTTTACATCTTCATGGCTTTCTTTGAGCAGATTGGAACGTATATTTAATGTAAACAAACAGCGTACAGAAGTCTTACACAAAGCACAAGACGATATTTGATATTGGTTGGATATGAAGTGTGATCTCCGTCAGGTTATATCTGTTACATTTGTGAAGGTGGAGTTTGGCTGGAGTTTTTTTTTTTTTTTTCGGGAACATGCAGAAGGTTGAAAGCGTCTCCTGTCTTCTGTTACTCGAAGAAGCCGCGGTCTCTGCAGAGAGAAGGATGCGGAGGATGTGAGGAGGGGTTTTTGCTGTAGGAGTGTGTGCGCTGTATGTGGCTTTGGCTTTTGGTTTCACCTCGGCCCCTTGATGTTTGGGCACAGTCCAAATTTACAGACAAGCTCTGGCACACAGACTCTGTGACTTTGATGGCTGCCATCTGAAAGTCAATCATTAGCAGTAGTGACTGTTTTTCTAGGAGATAAATCAACATGTTCTGATTTAACCCTATGCATGTCCAACCTCTTATTGTGCACTGCAGGACTGGTGCAAATTCAGGAAAAATGTCATAGTTTTTCAGTTTATAATATCACTATTAAAGTCATTGTTATACTTTTTAAAATCATTAAGGCTCCCTTTCTAAAAAATAAATATATATTTTAAAACGGATCAGTCTATAGGCATCTAAAATTACACTGTAAAAAATCAGTTAATTAACAATTTCCATACTTTGTGTTTTCAGTTTATTTATTGTTGTGAATTGCATTATGGGATGTTGATCTCTGCTCTGTCAACTTTCAGCTCCAAGACTGTTGTGATACGTTTAACGGTCATCATAATCTTAAATCCCTGAAAGTTTTTAATATTTAGATATTTTTTAACGTATAAACAGTTATATGCATTTATTAATGTATTATATCATCTTTGCATCAAATTACAAAAAACAAATTACCGCTTGTACGAGGTGTTTCTAATGCAGCGTCTATTGAGCTGAGAGTAAATTTGAGGTTATTCTCTCCTCTGGCTGCTGTCATCAGTCTCACATAATTTTTTCCTTTTTCTGAAAGTCTTGATAACACTATCATGGAGTTTTTTTCTTTTATTAATTCAGCATATAGGATTATAAAAATATTATTTGTTGTACTCTCCCATTCACTGCGCTCTACGTTTACCCAACTATGACAACTTGCAACTGCAACCTTTCAATCTACTGACCTTCATCAGGCATTTAAACACCAAAATCACACCATATGCTCTAAATTAAAAACTCAATCATCATTTAATAGATGCAATCAGACTGGATTGACAACATGCTTCCACTTTCTTCTACTGTAGAAAAGTGACGCCCAAAGATGGCGACTGAGATCTTACACTGATGACATCATTTGGAGCCAGATTTTGACTCCGCATCTTGAATTGGAGCCAGGGAATAATAGTCCTGACCATACTCTTGCAGACATGAATAATTTATAACAAAATCATTAACAGCAATCACTTGTTTTTATCCCTCACAAGGCTAAGACTTTGCTTGTTGTCTTCACTATAGCTGGCTAATAGCATTTATCTACTAATTAGCTAATAAAGCACAGACTTAACTATTATGATTCTTCGGTTAGTACAATTTATGGACAAAACAACTCATTTTATCTGTCTGAAACAACACATCTTCTACTGCTTCACTCAGAGAAGCTGTCAATCATTGCTGTCAATTAAGATGTCACTCCTCACATTTATAGCAGATAGCTAATTAAAACGTATTAACAAACATTCATGACTATTCATTTAAAAAATGCCTAAAATAGCAGAATCTGGAGGGAGAGGTTTATGACTTCTACCACAGTCAGCCATAAGGGGGCGATTGAAATGTTTTGGTACTGAATTGTATCGATTTAATTCGATTTTGATAAAGTCTCATTTTAATACTTTCACAATTCTTAATTTGATTCAGTAAATATTAAGCTACTGACATTTCTAAAAACGAACAGTGAAAAACAAATTAAATCTTTTGGCTTGCCCTTTTAATTTAATCAGTATCATGCCTTATTTATTATTCATATTTTTTATTTACGCTCTATCGTCAGTATTAGATGGTAACTAAGTACAATTACAATATTACAAAAATGTTAGATTTTTAAGAATTAATTTAAACATGTATCAGCTTTTATTGAATTCTTGCTGAGAAAACCTGAAGCAGGATGTGCCGTGCATCCTTTTGTAGGTGCATCCCTCTTTCCTTTGATCCAAATATAAACATAAGTAAGATTCTAGAAGTTTCTTGAATTCGCAGTGGGAAACTCTGACCCCTGCAGCTCTGAAAAGGAACATCTACATAAGCTTATACACAATAAATTAAAGTGTGGTCAACACATCCAACTACAGCATTAAACTATACAGTATTGTCCCATCCAAATGTTTGCAGTTAATATAAGCTTTATATTATATAAGCTTTTGAAAAACTCTCAATCTCATGCACATTTAGTAAAATATCAGTTTAAATATCTGTTTACTATAGAATATTTTTAACAATCCTTATATTACCATCATTATTCCAGTCTTTAGTGCCATGTGATCTTTTATCAAATTAGTATGCTGATTTGCTCAAGAAAAAAATATATTATGAATCTTGGATAACGTTCAAAAGAACATGATTTATACTTTAGTAACATTTCAGACATCTTTTATTTTAATTACAATTTTATCACACCCTAAGCAGAGATGCCAAAAGTACACAAATCCTTTACTCAAGTAGAAGTACAAATACTCATGTTTAAAACGACTTTGGTAAAAGTTGAAGTACTGACTGCACTTTTGTACTCAAGTAAAAGTAAAGAAGTACAGCCTCAAAAATGTACTTAAGTAAAAAGTACCTATTACAACTACATGTTTTAGGTTTACTAGGTACTGTAGGTAAATATCCAGTTTCCCCCGATTTATCATCATCTTGACGCAAACTCTCAGTGTTCATCATATAGTTTTGCCACTGTTGGAACAAATTCTAAAAATAATTTTATAGACCTGTATATATTCATTAGTAAATGTAACTGCTTACATTTAACACTGAATTTTTCCTAAAATAAATTAAATTTTTAAAAATTTATATTTGATTACCTTTATTAAATATATTGAAATGATATTTTCTTTTGCTAAAATAAATACTATGGTATTTTGACTGTAATTTTTTTTTCTCTCATAAATAACCCCATATTTTTCAAGGTATTGTGGTATCTTTTGCATTATATTTTTTTTCAGAAATTGCTCAGTATAGTTACTTTTGTTGTTGTAAAACATTTGTAAAAAATTATTGAAGAATAATATGCCTATATGTAAAATCATATAGTCAACTAATTAAAAAAATGCAAAACAACATAAATTCTGTATAACGAAATATGAACTCATTAGAAATAAAGGAAATAAATCTCAATGCATCAAGTTTTTATAAAGTATTTGATTGTTTTAGTACTAAATGTACAAATCTTCACACTAGTTTTTACGATATTAGACTGAAAGACCAGAGAAATCCTGTGCAGTATGAACAGACGTTGACAAAAGACTGTTAACCTTCAGCATATGTATGGCATATTTTTGAACTGGAATGTGTGCCTCTTGTTTTCCTGTGATCTGATTAAGCAAAATGTGTCTTATTACCGTGTAAACGGAGCAGCATCAGTCATGTTAAATTTGCCATCTCCCTCTGTCTCATCTGCATAGTCATCCTTGCCTTTCTCATAGAAATCTTCATAAACTAGCCTATATATGGTGCGTGATAGCCTGGGTTGTATCCACTGCGCGCAATGACAAAAAATAGATTGACTGCATCAAACAGGTGCTCAAATTGCACAATGACATGAAATAATAGATCGCACCACCAAACACATGAAAATGAAAGTAACGAGTCTGGTTTAAAAATATAAAGAGTAGAAAGTACAGATATTTGTGTAAAAATGTAAGAGGTAAAAGTAAAAAGTTGTCAAAAAAATAAATAGTGGAGTAAAAACAAAAAAATCTACCTAAATACAGTAACAAAGTATTTGTACTTCATTACTTCCCATCTCTGACCCTGAATAAAAGAAATATACTCTGAACAGATATAAGGGTAGCTGACATGGAGTTACTACAGGGTACTAGTTTTCAGGTTCTATATATTTACAGTAAAACTAAGGACCAAGAAATTTGAAAGCAACTACTCTGATGGTCCTAAATACAGCACATCTAATACCTCCCTTACCATTGCTTTTCACCGGTAGAGTTAAATTCGAATGTGATTGTTTTCATCCAGCCTGAAATTGAAAACACTCTTAAAGCCCGTTTAAGTCTGATTTGATTTTTGTGAGTCAAGATTGCTTTTAGGATGTGCCAAATATGCAACATGGTTGTGTAGTGCTGAATACTTACGCTCCCTCATCTTTGAGTAGAGAAAGGAACTTGCTAACTCTGTACTCCTGATCCATCTGAAGAGAAGAGAGTAAACACAACATGCTATAAATAAACCTTCAATTTTGTTGGTTTTCTGAAAGTCCCTGTGTCACAAGATGAAGCGAGCTCATGAGATTGCTAGACAGAACATTTGATGCACCGTGCAATTCTTCAGCGCATGAAACCGCTATAAAAAGCACAGAAAAGCAATTGAATTATTTAGACCGCCTTTCGTAAAGTATGTTAGAAGGCTGGTTGAGCTCATTAAATTTCTAGTCCACACGTCTGGCAACATGAAGAGATAAAAACCCAAAGCAAAGATACTAAGAAAAAGCATGCACCTAAAAATAAAGAGATTTGTTTTACTGTGATGCCATGGAAAAATAATGGGATCAGGATCAGTTATTCAGAGTATATAGATCATTTCAATGTGGTGAAGTCACTGGCCCATGAACATTTCCTGCTTGTTGTCAAACTATTTGATATCTGTAACAAGAGGTGATTCAATCATAACTTGATGTTATAACAGCTATCGTAACATTTTTTATCAGTATGTGAAGCTTTTTGGACTTTCAGAAGCTACTAAAATGTAAAACAGGATATACGTCATGACAATTGTTATTGTTTACATCCCCAAAAATGGTCTATATATTTTTTTTATCTTTAATCATGTTTGACATTTTAAACTTTTTAAAATCTTTTGTTTAATGGAAAGTTTTACATTCAACTGTTGTTGTCAATAAAGATATATTTTTTCAGAGGGCTTCTTCGACTCCTAATTTTTAATTTTAGTGCTTTCAGCAACGGTCTAAGATGTAATAACTGTTCAGTCCACTGAAGCTTACCTGCAGAGACATTTCAATAAGCATGAGCAGCTTCTTAATGCCAATCCACACTCTTTTTCCTTTCACATGCTGGGCGATGGTGGTTCTCTCAGCATCTGTGAAGCTCCCCAGGAGCTTGTAATTGGCAGAAAAAAAACAGGATAAGTATAATAAAAAATAACTATTTATAGATGTAAACGAAGTAGAAACATTTTGTGCCAGCATTTTATCCTGAGCGTGGTTAAATAGCGCCATCTACTGGCAACACTGCATATCTCGCGCTTCTTCAGATCTGATAGTAACTTCCATAGCTGTTTGTGAATGCAAAGTGTGTGGAAAATGTCAGATCAAAATGCATAATAAATGGAGTTGTTGTCTTTCATTAAAGAAATAAGTGATTCTGAACTACTTGAACGAGTCGTTCGTAATTCCAGTCTGACTTCCTGCAGAAGGTTTATGAACAATTTGCATAATGTCAGCCGATTTCTTCATTGCCTGTCATGAGTATTTTCAAACCCTGTAGATGAAGATGAGGCCAGGAAGAGTTTTGCTGTGTGCTGTATGTATGCAGTACTCTAGATATCTGCATAGTAATATCTAGATGTTTTTTTTTATTTCAAAACACAAAGTGTTTTTTTTTCACTAGATAGTAGGATAGCAGTATGTGTGCCATCAGGGCTCTAATGCCGAGTTCAGACTTCATGACAGCAAACCTGTCGGCGAGCCAAAATCGGGGCTAAAATCACGCAGTCTGAACTAGGCATTAAGAGAGCTAAGATTTTATTACATCAAGCTGTTAAAACTTTTACAATATACAAACAAGCCAGATCCAAACATTTAATGTGATGATTATCTCACATACAGTTGAATTCAGAATCATTAGCCCCCCTTTGAATTTTTTTCTCTTTTAAATATTTCCCAAATTATGTTAAACAGAGCAAGGAAATTTTCACAGTATGTCTGATAATATTTTTTCTTGTGGAGAAAGTCTTATTTGTTTTATTTCGACTAGAATAAAAACATTTTTTAAACACCATTTAAGGACAAAATTATTAGCCCCTTTAGGCAAATTTTTTTCGATTGTCTACAGAACAAACCATCATTATACAATAACTTGCCTAATTACCCTAAACTGCCTAGTTAAACTAATTAACCTATTTAAGCCTTTAAATGTCACTTTAAGCTGTATAGAAGTGTCTTGAAAAATATCTAGTCAAATATTATTTACTTTCATCATGGCAAAGAAGAAATAAATCAGTTATTAGAAATGAGTTATTAAAACTATTATGTTTAGAAATGTGTTGAAAAATCTGCTCTCCGTTAAAGAGAAACTGGGGAAAAAAATAAACAGGGCGGCTAATAATTAATGGGGCTAATTCTGACTTCAACTGTATATGACAATGTATGTTAGCATTTTTATTACCAGCTGGTCATTTTTGTACATTTGTTAGACAGCAAAACTGCACATTTAAAGCTAGTGATGTGCAAAAGCTAGCCCTGTCATGATAACAGTTTCAATTACATATTGTATCATGTTTTTTTTCATCCAGTATCCAATTTAAAAGCTATCAGTTAATGAATTGATTATCAGTAAATGTAATGTAACTTAGGGCAGCACAATATATCGTTTCTGCATCGATATAACAATGTGATTATTCCAAATAGTCACATCGCAGAATATGCAATGTTGAGTCTGATTATATATCGTCATTTGCATGTGTGTGACTGTATGAGGATTTTAAAAGGATCCATGCATAAGAAATTGTACCATCTGTAACTCTTTTAATGATTAAATGTATTGAATTATTTTTACAATGAGGAAGACCCAGTATTATTTTTCCATTGGATTATTCAATTACTGTATCTAAATACTATTAGACTCATCAGAAAACCATAACACACTTTAATGACTGTGTATGTTTTGCTTTATTGTATTTATCTGCGCTTGTAGATGGTTTATTATATTTAATGTAGAAGATTTCAATCTAAAATTATAAATTGGGTAAAACTGTATTCATGTCGCAATATATATTTGCAGAAATGGTCACACTTTACAATAAGGTTCATTAGTTAACTTCGCTACTTTCAAGAAACGACTAAAAACTCAACTATTTAGTCTCCACTACACTTTCTAATCTGTAATTGCCTCTCTGAATATCACACTAACTGTACAAAAAAAAAAAAATAAAAAAATTATACTAATACTACTAATACTTCCCTTCTTAGACTTTACAGACCTGAAACTTGCTTATAGCACTTATTCATTGTTGCTCTTGGTTGTGTAAATTGCTTCCTTGTCCTCATTTGTAAGTCGCTTTGGATAAAAGCGTCTGCTAAATGACTAAATGTGAATGTAAAATGTAAATGTTAATGTTAATGAATGCATTTACTAACATGAACAAACAATGAACAATACCTTTACTACTATTACTATGTTCATTGTTAGTTCATGTTGCAATAACTCATGGTGCAATAACTAATGTTAACAAGCATGGAGTTGAATGTTAATGATGCATTAGTAAATGTTCAACTATGGTTAATAAATGCTGTGTTGTGTTGTTCATGATTAGTTCATATTAGTAAATGCATTAACTAATGAACCTTATTGTAAAGTGTTACCGCAGAAATTAGCAATTTTTGATATTTTTTAAAAATCGTGCAGCTGTAATCTAATTGCACTATTGCTATTGATAAAATCCAACTTGGTCGACCTCTCTTTGGAAAGTTTGGAAAAATTAAACACTACTGTGGATACTTGAGCAAAGCATTTAACACACTGCCAAAATAAGTGATACTGAAACAATTATTATTTTATTTAATAAAAAAAAAAACTACTGTTAGAAACCAAAACAAAATTAGAAACCTTTAACGTAGTATAACTTGGGTTTTTGCATTTCATCATCTTTAATTTTTTCCTTTTGGATTTTTTAGGGTTGTACAGACTGCCTCAGTGTTCATTGTAGAATGGTCTTTTGATTCAGCTCACCTCTAGAGCTTCAACCAGATGATCCCCACTTGAGATATTCTGCACGTGGATGGTGGTGCTGAACGCATCCAGCATCTCCATCTCCTGCAGGACGTCTTTACGGCTGGTGGTGCCAATGATAAGCAGCTTACGACCCTTAAGGTGAAAATAAAGACCATTCATTAGACATAACCATAATCAAATAGTCTTACAGCACAAAGAGCAATGCATTCAAAGACAGAAACACAAATGTGTATTAATAGCTCATATGTACATCTTACATGAGGTGGAGTCTTCTTCAGTAAGACCAGCAGGGCTTGAAGCACCAGGTTGGAGAATCGAGGGCCGATCGGCACGTAATCTGGTTCATCACACATAATCGATAGTATGGCGTTAATAGTGTAACATATTATAACATTTATTATAATGTTCTTTCATTCCAACAATTAGCATTTTTTATTGGGACTTCACATAATCATATATGTATACAATAGCTTTTATCTAATACATGTTAATGTGGGAGGGAAGATAAAACATTTACATTAATATGTTATATTATATATTATTATACTTGAATATATATATATATATATATATATATATATATATATATATATATATATATATATATATATATATATATATATATAATTATATTATATATTATATTATATTATATACTTTAATATATATTTAAAAAACTTTAGTTTTATTTTAATGTTTTTTAAAAATGTAATTTGTTATATTAATTCAACAAATTTTCCCATTTAAGAGCCATTCTTGAAAAAAACAATTAATCGACAATAATAATAATAATTTTTTAATTGTAAATAGCAAATGTCTAACCTAAGAGGCGCTCAATGTCATCAACCACGACACAGCTGAGCTGAGACTTGTAGGCATCATCGAAGATCTGAAAAGTAAATAATAATTAAAATTTTAAATGATGCAATGCAACTACTTTGTGTATGAGAAGGCTGATAAAACTGTGAATAGACTCTAAATCATTATATTCTTCAATGTATTTGTGAGATACTATACTGTATGTTAACCACTAACCTTCTTGATTGCCTGGCATTTGGAGATCTCTGAGTGGCCGATCATCTTGTCTGGAGAGCAGATCTTAATGAATGGGAACTGCGAGTCCTCTGAGATTTTGGCAGCCAGAGCTGTCTTTCCACTGTGAGGAGGTCCTGACGGGAAAAACAAAAACTTCATGTAATATATAAACACATACTGTATATAAACACAGTTATTGGCATTTGAAAGCCTGAGGATTTGTAATACAGCAGTGTTTGAGCCAGTGTTCATTTTGGCAGCATATTTTAGATTTAGTTTAATCATATTACAGTCTTCTGAATCATTGTAGGTTCAGTCTAGTTTTAGACCACTAAAAGTTCTGACGTTTTAGTCTAGTTTTAGTCAATGAATATTTGACATAAAGATTGTTATCAATTAACCTTGCAAGCAATCTACTCTGTCCAAAACTACAATATTTTCCCCATATTAGATTTTTCTTTTCATTTAAAATATATATGTACATTAATGTGTTTGCCAGCGCTGCAACAATAGTCAGAGTACTGTATGATTGACCATTAAACTTCAACTGTTTCACTTTGTATATTGTATTTTTGCATCTTTGGAGATATTCTTTCAGCATTTATAGATGTACAAGTTTTATTTTAAAACTGCATAACATCAGTTATCACAGCCAGGAGGACCAAAGAGCAGGATACCTTTCACATGCTTACAACCTGCAGAACAAACAACATCTCACTTTTACACTAGATAAATATACTTCTACATTAGCACAATATGATTATAAACATCAATGTAGAAGATGAAGATGTTTGCATTTTCCTGTTCTGGAACATGAATGACTTTTATTATGAAAGGAACAAACAGCACATACCCATGCCATATCAATACACAGTACAGATATATATATATATATATATATATATATATATATATATATATATATATATATATATATATATATATATATATATATACACTGTATATATTAATGCTATACTACTATTGTTTGTTTTGACGTAATATTTGTTTATGTGCTGTGTATATTTATTATGTATATCTAAATACACACATGAATGCATATATTTTAGAACATTTTTATTTATATTTATTATTAGAAAGATTTATATGTATAATAAACAAATTCTATATAAATAAAACTATTTATTCAATAAAAAAAAATGTGTATAGTTTTTGTTCTTATGTATGTGTGTGTATCACAATAACATAATACACACACATGTATTATGACAAAACAAACTTTTATTTTGGATGCGATAAACATTTGCCCAGTACTAATATAAATTATGATTATTATTTAAACAAATATGCTTCTTTGATGTATAAAAAGATAATATTACAATTATATATATAAAAAAATTCAGTTATTTAAAATATTTGGTTAGATGTTAAGCCACAGTAGCAGGAATGTTTTTTCAAGTTTGGATGCTTACAATATTATCTGTACTTCATAAACAATAACACTGAGTGAAAATGGTCATTGATTAACATGCATGGGATGTTCTCAAATAATTATTTGATACATGTATTTGTAATGTAAAAAAAAACATTGATTAAGTGTTACAGTTAAAAAACAGAGCTCACCCTCCAGAAGCACAGACACCAGCGGAGTGCGGTCGCTGTTCTTGGTCTGCTGCACCAGCAGTTCTCCGTCCTCCAGCACTCGGGTCACTGGATCTCCCCACTTAATGATGCCGTTCATGATGTAGCTGGAATAGTCCTCTTGGTTGGTGCCAAAAGCCTAACAAGATACAACAATCGCATGTTTTCAATCATTTTGGTGATGAAATAATAAATTACTCAACAAGACTGATACTCACAGGTTTAATGTCGTTATTCAAGGACGCCATGAAATCTGTTCGAGTGACCTGTAGCTTTTCTGCTCGCTCCATGTCCACCTCTACGGTAGATGTTGCCTGAAATACAGTTCAGAGCAAGTCAGGTCTTCACCAATCATAGCTGAATATTAGTTAAGCCAATCACATTTGAGGATCAGTTCCATAGGGACTAGAACATTTTAAGTTTACTAGGTTTGATGGTGTTTATGCAACAACAAAAAAGTAAAACAATGTGTCTGGAGTGCTTGTAACGTTAATTACAGGTATCCTAAGAGAAAGTCAGATGGAATGTATTTTATTCCATTTCCTAAATACAATAAAACAACTCCTTGTTTACAAGATCAACAATGATATATATATACTTTACATTTTGTTTGGGTAAACTGAAGCAACATTGCTTATAACTCTGCTAACATTACCTTAAGTTATCCACAATCAATACAGTATGCAAAAGCACAGCATTGGGCTATGGTAAGTTAGATATCTAATACAGCGCTAACTTGAGCTAACTTGAGCTAACATTAGCTAAAGCTATTTGCAAAATGAGTTTTATTTTATGTTACCCTGTGCACGGAAACAGTGTTGATCCTCAATGTTTGTTGTATTTAATGACGTTAACATGCGGCTTCCTCCCACTTTGTTGGTATTGTGATTTATAAACCCTGACTATTCTTGTTATTCCCTATATTTGTTTTTGTTCTAAGACCAATTTAAATTCCACTTGGTCCTTCTGTGTCCAAAATGCATCAAAAATATCTTGAAATCACATTGATTCCTATTTACAGTTTACATTCACCAGCATTAGGTGCTGGCTGGGCCTACTGATAGGTCAGTTATATCATTGCTAAGGAATGTGTAGTGCATTGTACAGTGCTTTTCACCTTAATGTGACGGTTCATGGCAGTGGATTGTGCAGCTCTGACCAGACCCTCCAGTTCAGCTCCACTGTAGTTCTTGGTCTCAGCAGCCAACTCTTTCACATCCACATCAGAAGCCAGGAGTTTAAACTCTCGCATCTTAGCTGTGTGGATGTTCAGGATCTGAACACGACCCTTCTCATCTGGCAAACCTGGGGGATGAGACAAAGACATATACAGTAGGTGACAATGAGCAGACATGAAGAAAGGGTATGATATGTCTAATGTATAAAGACCAAAGCTCTAAAGTCCTACCGATTTCCATCTTTACTTCAAATCGGCCAGGTCTCATCAAGGCTTCATCTATCAGGTCAGGCCTATTAGTCATGCCTTTCAGATAAAGACAAATTCACAGATTGAAGGAGATAAAAAGACAATAATTGTGACTTTTATTTGGCATATCATAAGAATTTGAGAAGCAAACCAATATTGTTTTATATAATAATAATAATAATAATAATAATAATAATAATAATAATAATAATAATAATAATAATAATTATTATTATTATTATTATTATTATTATTATTATTATTATTATTATTATTATTATTATTATTATTAATATACAACTAAAGAATAGTATTAGTAAATGTAGGTAAATATTACTGTTAAGGCAATAAACAAAGGCTAATAAATAATATTAATAATGATGTTGTATAACAACAACATTAATGTATACCATTTTATGATAATTATAATTATATTAATTAATAATACCAATAATGTTATTATTGTGATAATCTTTTTGTAGATATACTAAAAGGCAAAGGATGTTATGGACCAATCATCAGTTATAATAACAACAATAATTTGGTGTGTTTATTAGTTAATTTATTTTTTAATAAGTCACAATTTTCCCCATATACTTCAACTACAATAGTTACTTCTAATAGTAATGATCATAGATTAGTTGTTATTGTTTATATTTTTAAAAGTTGTTAGATTTGTCATCAACTCAAAGAATAATAATATTTCTTATCGTTTATTGTTGTTAACGTAATGATTGTTTATTTCATGAGTCACATCAGATCACACCAAAGAAAAAAGCTACTCCTATTTACCGATGACGAGGATGTTGTTGAGCTGCTCCACTCCGTCGATCTTGGACAGCAGCTGGTTAACCACAGTGTCGTGCACACCTGTGCTGCTGGCGCCTGTACCACGCTGCTTACAGATGGCATCCAGTTCATCAAAGATGATGATGTGCAGACCGCTGTTAGCACCCAACTGCACAAAAACACACACAACATTACAATTAAGACACAGAAGAGATTATAATATAGTAGGACAGTGTATTTGTGAGGAGAAACTTTTCACCCTTTTCTGTTCCTCCTCAGCATCCGCGAACAGTTTCCTAATGTTGGCCTCAGACTCTCCCACGTACTTGTTGAGGATCTCTGGTCCGTTGACTATCTTTGGCTCTCTGGCATTTAGCATTTTACCGATCTGCCTGGCCATCAGTGTTTTACCACAGCCAGGAGGACCAAAGAGCAGGATACCTTTCACATGCTTACAACCTGCAGAACAAACAACATCTCACTTTTACACTAGATAAATATACTTCTACATTAGCACAATATGATTATAAACATCAATGTAGAAGATGAAGATGTTTGCATTTTCCTGTTCTGGAACATGGATGACTTTTATTATGAAAGGAACAAACAGCACATACCCATCTGCTCCACAATGTCTGGAGGAAAGACTCGAGAGGCAAAGGCCCTGCGGAAGATATCAGAGAACTCCTTGTCTAAACCACCAATGCCCATTTTCTCAAAGTTCCAGTCAGGGTTGATGATGGTTTGACGGGCTTCTTTAGTTTTAGCCTTGCCTGGAGGGCAAAAAGAGTAAGATTAAGAAGCTGTTTATATGACAGTGAATGGAAATGTATTATTTAAAGTCTGATAAAACTCACCAACTAGAGTGAGAGATGAGCTCTCTGATTTTTCAAAAATCACTTGACTGTTTCCAACCAACAGGCCGACCTCAATCTGTGATGTTACACAGGACGATTAGATATGTATACAAATTAATGGATCATTTCTTTCTGTAATATTAAAGTGCAAATTTAATATGCACTTTCTGACACCTTTTGCTTTTTGCCAGATGCTGGTTCACCCTTCAGAATGCTGGAATCCATCGCCTCAATATCTTTGATAAGTAGGCCGAAGAGCTTGTCACAAAAACTGAAGACCAGCTATGACATGAAAATCACAAGACAACAACAAAAACACATTAACACAATTAAAATTATACCAGATTACGCTATGCAACATTCTAAGCTGTGAAATTATTTCAAACCAGGCTCACTCTGAAAATGTACCTCTATATACATTTCTGGAGTGTGTCAAATACACCCCAGGAGCTAGAGGCCGCTGTGTATGCTTTTTCAGATTTCAAATTTCACTCGCAAGTGGCAGTTGCGCCTGTTGTTCTAACATAAATCCACCAGAAGCTGCTGTCAACTCACTGTTTGGCTGACTAAATGACTGACTGACCAATCGACCAAAAATAAAATGCAGCCATACATACTTCCGGCTACATAATTCGCGATCACCAGAAACGTTTTCAGAATGAGCTTATGTTGAATCATTTTCAGGAATGCAAATCTAAAGTAGATCCAGGAAGATTTTAACTGCATTTCATTTTTGTGTAACTATGACTAAAGATTTCAGTTCATTTAAAGGTCCAAAGGACAGCAAAAAATAAATAAAGAAGTAAATAAAAAAACTAAATACATAAAGATGCACAGCAGTGTAAGAAACAAAGTAACAATAGCATTAAAAGACAATCTATGGATCTTTTTTTTCCATACAAGTGTGTACACATTTCTTGAAACAACTATTATTAGGCCCAATCTCAATTCTACCCCGTAGCCCATCCCTTTACCCCTACCCCTCGTTTTGTGCGTTCACGTGAAGAGGTAGGGGTCAACACGCAAATCGAGGGGTAGGGGTGTCCCAATTCTCTTTAGCTTGAAGACATATGGCTAAGGGGAAGAGCTAGATACCTCATCGAACTGAGATTTTTCAGGACCACATTTGAAACCAAGGGGTAAGAAAATACACCCAGAATACACCAGCCTAGTATAGCTACAGCCGGAAGTAAGGAGATCCACAAATTAGTTTTTTTGTCATTATTATGAGTTTTTACAACAAACAAACACATGTTTTAATACATTCATAACCGCATTTTTTTTTTTACCATCATGCTTAAAAAAACGCTAAAATAAAAACTGCTAAATTTTGCTATCTATAATCCATAATAATAACAACTCCTGTACAGCAGTCCCTCAACATTCTGACACTCGATGACACTGAAATACCCTGTCAGAAAAGTCTAGTGGCTGGGAATGGGCTTTTTACAGTGTCTTCTATAATGTTTATGTTGTTTTGGTGTGTTTACATAGATGAATATGGCCGCTGTGTAAATGTGTAGTACAGTTTCGATCTTATTGCCACATAAGATCATTATGATAACATAATATATGCTTTCAATGATTTCCTGAAGATAATAACCAAAAAATGACAGAACTGGAATCACTACAGCAGTCGTCATCGTCTGATCTCATATGAAGCAAGAGATCGCGATGACTTATGATGATGTGTGCAGGTGCTGTAGCTGTGTCCCATTTCTTAGGGGTAAATTTTGAAGCCCTTCCTCTTTACACTCTATTTCACGGGCCAAAAGGAAGGGAAAGGGGTAGGGGTAGAAACATAGAATTCAGATTAGGCCTTGTTCTCTCTTTCTCTAATAACTAAATTTTTCTGCTATTAATAGTTTAAGGCTCTGTTATTAGCTCTAAAAAATCAACAAATGTCTTGAAATAAAACTTTTGAACAATGTACTTCATTCACCAATATCTTCACTAAGCTCTTTAGCTGCAAAAATATTAACACGTGTTCTTGAAGTACACATGAAATCAAAACTAAGCACATTGATTTTGTTAGCTTACATTGCTAGTTTGGTGGTGAGCAATTCATCTATGCATATCATTCAGAAAAACAAATGGTTTGCTCTTCTAATCTTTAAGTGAAAGCTGAAAATACCCTTCCTGTTTATTTTCAGTTAAATTCTAAGATTATGGTCTGAGATATTGGCTGTGGGTAACATACTTAGCAGAAATAGCAGAGTCCAGCAGTTTGTAAAGCATACAGCGTCATATGCTGTTAACAACAGAATCGACTCAAAAGGCAAGAGCGGTTCATTATGAAAATCTCAAAACTTATGCAGGAATTATTTTTCAAAACATTTATTGATTTTCAGCTCTTTGTAAATCATTTAGTTTTGGTGATGTGTTTCTGACCTGCTGCCCCACGGAGAAGCTCTGATTGTTAAAATGCTGGATGAACTCAGCAGCCATTTTGTCTGAGTCGTAAGGGCTGGAGTCTGTGCTCTTCTTCTGCAGGAAGTCAATCTCAATGGTCATGGCACCAATGCACTGCCTGGACTTGTCAAAGTTGTAGTTTGACACTGAAATGGTGGGAATAAAATCAGTGATTTGAATTGTGTGCTGAATTGAACTGTGTTCTAAATGTTCTCCAGGAATAATATACACACCTTCTATTTCTTGCCCAATGGACAGGCCTGCCCATTTCCTCTTTAAGAAGGGTTAAGAAGAGAGTGAATAACATGTAAAAGGTCCATCAAAATATAATGTTCAGACAATAATGAATATTTGTTCATCACTTATATAATTCAAAACTTGTTCATTCATTTGTTTTCTTTCAGCTTATTCCCATTATTTATCAAGTGTGGCAACAGCGGAATGAACTGCCAGCTTATCCAGCATATGTTTTACTCAGCGGATCCCCCTCCAGTTGCATCCCCGCACTGGGAAACACCCAAACACTCACATTCACACACATAGACTACGGCCAATTAAGCTTATTCAATTCACCTATAGTGCATGTCTTTGGACTGTGGGGGGAAACCGGAGCGCCCAGAGGAAACCCATACAAACATGGGGAGAACATGCAAACTCAACACAGAAACACCAACTGGCCCAGCTGGGGCTCAAACCAGAGACCTTCTTGCAGTGCTAACCACTGAGCCACCATGACGCCCCTTCAAAATTTGTATTAAACAATAAAAAATGCACAATGAAAGTCAACCATTTGGTTGCCAACATTCTTCACAAATATAATTTTGTTTTCCAAGATGAACAAATTTTTCATTTTTGTCTGAACTGTCTCTTTAAATATGTTTGCTTAGCTGTTCTTTGTTATTTCAATGTTAATTAGTCTTGTGCTGTGTTTGTATCACAAGTAACAGATCTTGGCATGACTTCTGCACCTGTGGCAAACTGAAAGCGATGGTTCCAGGGAGCACAGAGTGGTGACCCTTCACTGTGAACACAAACTTGTGGGTGGGTGTTGTCCTCACAGTCACATGCCTGGAGAGAAAGAGATCCAGAAAACAATAATAAACACGAACCTCCTATCAGGAATCATCAATGTAACATAAAAAAGGACCATGTCTAGTCACATACTGTTCACGTTTACAACTCCACCAATCCTTAGACAACATAATCTGAGATCAGCACATGGGATTATTTGTCAGAACGACTGACAATGGCTGCTTTTTTTAGTAGGCTTACGTCTCATTCATTCAATTAAATCACAGGTTAATCCTAAACATGGCAGAATATTTTGAGTGGATAAAACCATCTTTATTGTTATTTCCAGCAGAGAATAAATGAAATAATGTTAGGAATAATAATACTGAGTGAAATGTTTATTTTAAAAAAGGCAAAACGAATCAATTATATATCAATTTAGATCACAAATAAACATGTCATACATCAATACGCCAACACAAACCCACACACATCAGCCCTCATGCTGTGATCTTCTTGGACATGAGGCATCAGCAGGAGGCACTGCGGCAGACTCTGTCAGCCTGACTTAACGTCTGGACTGATTCAGCATCCCAAGGACACACACACACACAGTCTCTCTCTCTCCATCTCTCTCTCTCTCTCTCTCTCTCTCTCTCTCTCTCTCTCTTTCTCTCTCTCTCTCTCTCTCTCTCTCTCTCTCTCACACACACACACACACACACACACACACACACACACACACACACACACACACACACACTCTCTCTCTCTCACACACTCACACAAACTCTCTCTCTCTCTCTCTCTCTTTCCCTCTTTCTCACACACACAAGGCACACAAGGAAAATCCTCAGCTTTGCCTCTGGAGCATTGACAACATGTATATGCATGACACTTTTTCTACAGCCAGATACACTATTATTATAAATCTGCAAACAGATATTACACACTATCAGTATATTTAGGATGGTATTGAATTTTCTTGTTGCAATTACAGTTTTTCTCGATTGCTTGGATGCAGTTGTCAACTGAAACTCCACATTTTCAAAACAGTTAACACACAGGCCTAAACAGCGGCACTCATGGTTAAAATGACACATTTTGCTTGCAAAAGGCACATATCGTGTCAAAACCTTTACAATATGCAACAAAAGCTAGTTTTACCTTCAAACAACACAACTTGCAAACAGGTATATGAGCTCTTTCAATTAATCATTACACAACGGACAACAAAATACAAAATACAGAGCTCAGTGCACCTCCATTGCTTGTCATTGTAGCCTATTGCCAATGCCATTTGTTGTCTTTCTATTTGTGCTGTCAAATTTGCCTTTTTGCAAAGAATTGAATCCAGAATAAGAAATGCTTTGATTACATTTATATTGAATTCATGACAATTGAAAACTGAAATACTGTAAAAACAGACAAAAGTAATAAAATACTGTAAATATTAAAGAAAACACATGTAAACCAATATACAGTCAAATCTATTAGGAGTAAAGGACATAGCCACTATTGACCTCCTTCATCCATGCTGGCACAGAACAACACAGACCTTCTACCGTTTTATAAGGTTTGCAGACTGATTGCTAATTGAAGATTTGTGTGAAGGAGTGTCAAATCGGTGCTTCACTGAATTCATATTGATGTTGGTAGTTTCTAATGGTTAGAAATAGATGGTTTCTGTTTGGTTACCATAACTAAAACAATGAAGTTTGGACTGCTTGAATGACATCTGTGTTAACTGTTTTGAAAAATGGTGGGGAAAATGTGTCAACCCAATGAGAAAGAGTTTACACATTTGCAAGACCGGTCTTCTGCTCTGCTGGGATAGTGAAAATGAAAATGAAGTGGAACCTAGTTTCTTTAACCAGGTCAAAGCAAACAAGAAAAACTGTAATTCCTGAAGCTTTTATTATGGTATTACCTCAATAATACACATACCGTTCACTCAGCTTTTAAAATGTTTGGACGCTGGTTTAAACCTTAGGACGCAGATTTAAAATTCAGAATGATCTGCAGTACTATGAATGGGGCTAATATGTTTTTCTTTTTCAAATATTTCCCAAATTATGTTTAACAGAGCAAGGAAATGTTCACAGTATTTCCGATAATATTTGAAAGTCTTATTTGTTTTATTTCTGCTGTAATAAAAGCAGTTTTAAATAATAAAAAAACATTTTAAGGTCAAAATTATTAGCCGCTTTAAGCTATTTTTTTTTTTTTGATAGTCAACAAAACAACCATTGTTATACAATAACTTGCCTAGTTACCCAAACCTCCCTAGTTAACCTAATTAATTTAGTTAAGCCTTTTAATTGCACTTTAAGCTGAATACTTGTATCTTGAAAAATATCTAGTCAAATAGTATTTACTGTCATTATGGAGAGATAAAATAAATCAGTTGTTAGAAATGAGTTATTAAAACTATTATGTTTAGAAATGTGTTGAAAAACTCTCTTCGTTTAAGAGAAACTGGCAATAAAAAAAAACAGGGGGCTTAAATTCTGACTTCAATTATATATATATATATATATATATATATATATATATATATATATATATATATATATATATATATATATATATATATATATTAATTGAACCTGATTGTTTTTTCCCTATACAACCATTAATTTTTGAGACTGGTCTCAAGATGTAATTTATTTTATTTTATTTTTTTAATTTTTAAAGGGCTCAATAAACTTCCTATTTTTAGAAATATTTGCAATCGATGAATCTTGCCTGAAGTGTGTGTGTGTGTGTGCGCATGTTAATACTCACTGTCCAGACTGCAGGTCTTTCTCACTCACTACAGCACAGTTAGTCAGTGACAGCTCATCTGTCGGGCATCGGGCTGCTTGCATCGTCTGCACACAGACAAATAGTAATGAAGAGAGACAGTAAGACATTGAAGAGCTGTGGAGAAGTTTGCCGCACAAGAGAAAGAGATGTCTGGCCATTTATATTAGAGCTTAAAGGTGATGTGTGCAATCTGTTAAAATACTTATTTTCTATGAACTATAATCAAGTAAATCATTCGTCAACTGATTCCCCCAAAAAATGCTTTTACCATTTTTTAAACTTTATTTGAGGTGTTTAAAAGAATAGCATTGGCTCAACCTATTTGTGACTTATTATCAGGCAGTTTTTGAGGAAACCTGTTTGAGAAATGTCATTATTTAGCTCCACTTGGTGGCGCTGGTGGCACAGAAATTACACACGTCAGCTTTAACACATGCATCTTGCTATATAAGCTCACTGGGCGTCTCCTATGAAAAGATCTTTCAGCATGAAAAATTTAAATCACGCCATATGACAGAGTTCACATGATGCTCATGAGAAATTCAGAAAATAGTACATCCCATGGTGCAAAATAGCAAGATGGAGAGCGGTTTCTAGTGTGCAAGCTAAAATCTGTCAGTCAAAGCAGCGCGATTGTTTTTGATAGATTTTTTAACACAATCTCACCTAATCATCCCTTCCAGGACCACATGCATCATGTTTTATTGCTACCGAGATCCTACAAAACCCAAACCAATATCGTTGCAAGGGTTAGACATAAACAGTATTACCAGCAACTGAGGCGAGGGAATGATAACAAAAATATAATAATCATAAATCAATCTGCAAGAGAGCATTTACATGATGTGTTAAGCATGGGTAAATGAGAAACATAAAAGACAGTTACATTTTGTAAACTGAGACTGACAGAGAAGGTTCATGGGGGTTCTCTCTTTATTTGTTCCTTCTTTGGTTGTTGCAGCTAACCAAAGCTCTATAAATAAAACATGGCACAAAAGTAGACAAAACAACAAGCGCTAATAGAAATGAAGCGTTGCATGCTGCTCCCATCTGGATTTACCAAAGGAACAGTGTGCTACAGAAAGATAGATAATGAATGACTCAACAAAAAACAAAAGTTCAGTGAAAACAGGGTGTTAGATGGATTTAGAGAATAATAAAATAAAACTAGAGGGTAGAACTTTAGCTCAATATCTTTAAAAATGCGTTTATAAGTAGTTAAAGCAACAATTAACATGAGATAATCAACTATATTTTTACCTGCATTTACTATTAGATTAATTGTATTTTGAGACAGATGTTTTTAGCATTAAATGCCAAAAGCAGATCTTTAGAAAAAAAAATGGCAAACAAGGATTAATAACAATCAACTAATGATCAACTAATGATTGAATGATCAAAAGCAACTTTGAATGCTACATTAGTCGTTAAGTCATGTGGGCAAAAAAAGTCTACAGGTTTACTAAGTCCACTTCAAAGGATATTTAAAAAAATATTTATTTATTTTCAAGAACAACAATGAAAGGCTTGTTCAAACTACAAGTGCTGTTTTTGAGGGATTGTTATGTCACAAAGTGGCCCAAATCCCACCTATTAAAATTTGATTGCTTGAGGGGTGTGGGGAGGAGCATTCCCTACATGTGTGCATGTAAATGTTTTGCACAATCGTTTTGAACAATATTCTCTGCTCAAATTGATTATGTTGTGAAATACTTGATATTGTTCAAGAACACATATTAAACATCTTAACGATTATCAAATTAGTCAATGCTGATGGGTGCCCCTATGTCAGAGATTAGAGCTGCTGGATTTACAACACATAAAATCATCAAGCTCTCCCAAAACACATGAACATACGTGGTTGATTCACTTTAAAAAAAAAACAGAGGAGAAAGAGAAAGAACAAACTACAGAAGTATTGAATGTGTGGCGTGATAAAAAGATATCAACACTCAAAACCTTTGGATAGAAGAAAGTGCAGAAACTGGACAAGGAATAATCTTTTTTAACTAAGTTTATTTTGGGCTTTTGAATAAATAATGTCTAAAATATAGTGCCAAGTTGTTGTACCCAACGCGTAATTGTAGTGCAATAAAGCCCAAAATCACGCTATTCACTGTGCTAATGATGAAATTGAAATGGCACGTGTCCTTAAATATAATTATCCTTGGACTCCTGAAGTAAAAATTTAAAAAATAATTGATTGTTTTAATCATTTTATGATTGTGTGTATGTATTGGGGAGGAGATTCTAAATTAGTTTGTTTCTTTTGCCCTATTTCTGTTCTTTTTGTGTTAACAACTGAGTAAGAATTGATGTATACAAATGCAAAGGATAAAAATATCCCTTTAAAAGTACTTCACCAGTGGCAGGCTTTTAAGTGTACAAATGTTTTTTAAAAAATCTAACAATAAAAAAAAGATATCATGAACCTGAAGTTGCAGTTTGCAACAGTCTTTTCTACTCCTTTATAATATATCTGAGTAAAACAACTTCATATAATATTAGGAAATTATTTGATTTTTTGCATCAGGAAACTACTTTTTTTATTTTAGTCAAACACAGCAGAAATGTGCAACAATGGGAATCTAACATTGTGTTGATATTAGAGATGTACCAATTTTTGGCCACCGAAAATTTCATTAATTCATTCATTTTCTTTTCAGCTTAGCCTCTTTATTAATCCGGGGTCGCCACAGCGGAATGAATCCCCAACTTATAGCTGCAACCCATCTCTGGGAAACATCCACACACTCATTCACATCGGAAAATTTAGCCTAGCCAATTCACCTGTACCGCATGTCTTTGGACTGTGGGGGAAACTGGAGCACTTGGAGGAAACCCACGCGAATGCAGGGAGAACATGCAAACTCCACACAGAAATGCCAACTGACCCAGCCGAGGCTCAAACCAGCGACCTTCTTGCTCTGAATCGAAAGCACTACCTACTGCGCCACTACGTCACCCCACTAAAAATGTATCGAACAAAAATATGTTATACTATTGAATAAACCCTCTAATTTTTGTGGCTTCAGTCATTGGTAGGGTACACTTTTAAATTTGGAACATTAACAACTGATCTGAAATTTATATTGTTTAATATGGAAAATTATTATCGAGATCAAATTTATGCCGTATCGCCCAGCCCTAATTATTTTTGTTATTATTTATTTGTTATAAATTGTTTTGGTTGATCACAAATAAGTGACAGATTGTCCCGCCCTCATGCCTGTAAATTCATCATCAGAGAAGAGGAGAAAAGAGATGCCACAATAAATAAATTAATAAACAAATACAAAAAAAAAATAATAATAATAAAATAAAGAAAGAAATAAATAAAGAAAGAAATGGCAAAATAATGGTGTGCAAAGATAGAAAATAATCTGCAATACTTAATAAAAAAAAGTAAAGCAAGGGATCATTCACCGCAAAAAAAACCATATAATTTACTCAACATCAGGAGGTTCCAAATCTTTATGGGTTTACTTTTTTGTTGAAGACAAAAAAAATATATTTTGAAAAATGTTAGAAACCTGTAACCATTCACTAACAAGGGTTGTGAATCTACACTGGTCTCACGGTTCGGTTCAGTTACGATTATCATGCCATCGATATAGTTCAATCGATATCTCGATGCATTGACAATGCTTTCCATACATAATTAGATTTTTTCTTCACAACACAAGATTATTTTTTATTAAAATCTATAAATATATTAATATTTATATTATATTTGTAATACAATTTTGTCCTTTAATACAAGCAGTAAGATATATGAACTGTACCTTTAATTTTACCTGCTCAAAGAAAACACTCTTTTTCAATGTATCAAGCAAAACTCCAATACATGCACAGAAGACAACACAAGCATTTATAGCAAATAAACTAATGTAAATATTATCCAGCTTCCTTTTTGAGCGCTGTCTTACACCCCTATGATTGGTCATTGTCTTCACCTGCTCAACAGAAAGGGCTGCGCTTGGCTTTAGAAATGAAAGCGTAGTTCACCGTTGAGTTTTAAGTAGTAGGAGCTTTTTATTTAGTCGCCCTTGCCTCCTTCGCCATAGTATTCTACTGTGGCATTGCGCATAGGAGATAAATGACTTCAGTACTTAATAACCGGTTATGATCTATTACTGAACCGATATTGAATTGTCCCCATCTGCATCGCGGTTCACCGAAGAGACAATTAATTTTGACACCCCTACTATGGAAGGTGCCTGTGCCTTAAATGCAAATGAGCTGGTACCCCCCCACTCCCCAACCACACTGTTCCCACGTGTCAGAGACATAGAGATCTGTCTGTATTGCTCTGATGGGTGTAGCCTTCACCTGCTGCGTCTCACCTCAGATAAACAGCACAGTGACAGACAAAACAGAAGCAGATCTCCCTTAATACAGCAAGAACATTCCCCAAGATTATTTGATGTGTTTGTTATGGAGTTAATTCAAGCCTTTCTGCAACGATGAGTCACACACAATGTTGTCACAAAGTTTGCACACACATGCAAGTCAATGGTTACAGGTTTTAAACATTTTTCTAAATAACTCATTTTGTGTTCAACAAAAGAAACACACTCAAACTGGTTCATTACAAATAAAAAATGAATAAACGATGATAGAATTTTCATTTTTTATGGTTAACCGTCAGTTTAAAGCAAGACTTTCAATGTATAATTGCTGTGCTATCTGTAGTATCCTAATTAAAGCCTTGGTGTAGATGTTAATTCAACAGCCTGACATAATCCAGTTACCGAAGAGCAGTCCAACAATTAGAGCTACTTTAGTTTCAGGTCAAAAAAGCAATAATCCATGACTCGCTGCCAGTGTGCAAAACAAACCTCACCACAGGCCCCATCACACCATTCACCCATTACTCCTGGCTCTTTACTAACCTCAACTGAACCTCTGTTTGTCCTGACAGTGATGGTTTGTGTGTATGGCATTGGGACACAGTTTTAGGCACTGTACTCCCCCGAGCGGTTGCTAATGTACCAAGAAGGGTCATAGCAACTGGGGTTACAGCCTGCCTGCTCTCAGGACACTAAGAGCGAGCAGAAAAACT